ATAATGTGTGTTTTGTAAATATTAAGGTGGTTCCGTATCTAACTAAATGATTCCCAAAGCACACGAATTTCCACACAACTTCTTATAGCCTTTTACAATCGATGGCGAAAAAGCAACAGCCAGGCGATAAAGTGTAAAGCCTGGCGATAGGAACTACAGCCCGGCTGCATAATTTTTTATCGCTTCGTATAGCCCGGCCGTATGATTTTCTCCGCATTCTACAGCCAGCTATATGATTTTCTGTAGCTTTCTTTAGCCGGCTATAAAAATTTCTATGGTATTTTGAAACGCTGCTCTTATCGCCAATTTTTACCAGGGCGCGGCGTTTCGCTCGAAAAACTCCTTCATCTTTTCGGGTAGGTAAGAAACCTACCAGAGAGTACGAATAGTTATCTCCTCAGATACCGACTCTTGCCACGACAAGTCCGAAGTTACGATGGATTTTGGCGTGGTTGATTTTTAAATCTCCACTTCCTCATTTAGTATCTTCACTTTTTTTTGAACCTGATATTGCTTTTTGAATGGTCGATCACACCTAAAACGCGAACCGAATCATACAATGTACTCAAATATATGAACGTTGGAAATGACTGGACAGCAGCCCGATCCATTCTCTTATGAGTGTGGCAAGTCTTCGTTTCCTTCACGAAAGAATGTAACTCAATTTCAATGTTGCCAAATTTCCCCTCTCAAAGTAAATATTAATCAGGAGAATCCTTGGCATTTTTACTGAAAATGTCACCGAAGCTTCCTCAGATCTTGGGCAAAAATCGGAAAAAATCGAATGCAAATTGCACGGGTGCATTTTTGTAAAATAAATTAATTGTTTGAGCCAATTTGACACCCTTGGAGTTACGTTCCTTTGTCCGGGGGACGACAAATTGTGGCATTTTTGTTGCTATTCGAAAAACACCATCGATTAATTGTGTTTTTAATCAAACCTTCTCTCTCGTATATCGTTGACATCTAATTTACTGGGGGAAAAAACTTGATCACCACGTAGCCTATCGCTTTTTGCTTTTCTCTGTGGTGTATCTACAAGAGGATTTCATGTCGAGTAACTTCTCTCAAAGCTCGTCCTTTCGGACGTGTTTTTGTGTGTTCGGGGCGTGTCAGCAGGACTAAAGTTTGCTTTTGCCTCCCCCCCCCCACCCTCCTCCCGCTCATCACGCTGTTGACACGTACGTGGAACACAGTCCATGGCTACTCCCATCTCATATCCTTTGGCAGTGTTCGCGTCTCGAATCAAGTCAGCTTCCTCTCTGATCGTCGCTATGTGAAGTATCAGAAGCCTAATCTCGTCTGAAAGCACATTAGAAAGCAATCTCAGCTGCCATTAAAGTATAATGGAATGTAATGAGCTTGCAGCAAAATAGATGTGCCGACTTCTGCTTAATAATATGTTTTTATACATGCATTTGTTAAACAATGTTGTGTTCTCGCGTTGATAGATGTCTACCTTGATTCACCTCGTGCTCTCCTCAACTTGCGCGCGGAAGCGTCGGCCATGTTGAGCAGGGATTGAATGGAACGACTCCTCTAACAAAATGTTCACCTGTGCCGTAGTATCCTTAATGAAGCGCAGATTGTGAAGTTAGGAGTGCATTTCAGAGTTTGCCGATGCGCTCATCCTGATTTTTGAGACTTCATCTACAAGGTACAAGTCTTAATTTTGCTCGAACAAAAGTTTGCATCCGGCCTATTTTAGGGGTTAACCCCAAACACTTTTTTCCCGTGACCCGTTAAGAGTATGTGCCTGATGGAGGTAGGGCTAAAGTTTAGACTCGTTGCTTGCAATTTGACTGTTGAATCATATGTAAAAGTTCGCGAGAAATACGATGGTGTCACTGGTATTCTCTGAAATCATCTCCCAAGCTCAAAAAAAGCTCTCAACTTGAGGCCAAAATGGATATCCCACGCTATCCCGAGAGTCCACCTCTACATCAAAACTAACTCTCCATGCAAAGATAGGGAGCAAATACATTGACAGGGCTGCCTTTTTTATTTGGGGACTCTAAAACTAAAAATACGGCATCACTGCTAATGTATTTGCTCCCTATCTTTGCATGGAGAGTTTGTTTTGATGTAGAGGTGGACTCTCAGGATAGCGTGGGATATCCCCTCCATTTTGGCCTCAAGTTGAGAGCTTTTTTTGAGCTTGGGAGATGATTTCAGAGAAAACCAGTGGCACCATCGTGTCTCTCGCGAACTTTTACGTAAGAATCAACAGTCTACTCGCAAAGCCCTCACACATGCAAAATCTCCATTAGTCTCGAAATGAAATATTTCAAAGGGGTACTTACATCGACTCCCCTCTGTATGTTTGATTAAGTTATACAATAGACGAGAATTTTCCGTTAATTATGATTTTATTCTCATTTTGTGAGGGCGGCAACGCAGGTGGGGCGGTAAACGGTCGCATTTGTCAGTAAGAAACAATCGAGGAGTGCTCTCGCTTCGTACCAATCGCTCCGTCTTTATTCACCCCCCCATCCCCCCCCCCCCCCNGTCCCACTTCGTTCTCAGACCCATCGACTCCCGACCCCGCTCCGGTCTGAAATAGACGTTACCCCGTGGCGCGCTCGGCGCTTCTTTCTCGCTGATTAAAAACGCTGACGCTCTCTCGGCCGGATAATTGATACTCGACTGCGAAGAATCACTTTTAATTTACAAATAAATATGCTTCCCCCTCAAGTGGGTCAATTGCATTATTCCTCCGGCTCCTCGTATTTCAAACCGCTTCGCTCCTAGCGGGAAACCTGCGACTCGATTATCGAATCGATAGCGGACGACCGTTATCGATAAAAAGCATCGCTGAGATAGGGATGTATCGATCAAAAATATTCGATGAACGATTCAAAAATCGAACCGCTCGAAAGCGCCGAATTTTACTCGTAGATTTCAACGAGGAAACCGCAGGAGTATTTCCATGGTCTCGAGAGATGCCGATTTCTTTCTTGCGTAGGTGTCGGGGATTTCCAGAGATTTCCTTTATGACCCATCCTCATAAGTAAATTATCGCGCCAAAATCGCCGTAAAAAAGACAGGTTTGTGGTATGAAGGACACCTACAGAAATTCTAGGATTACACTGGAAAAAAAAAGTAGCTTGAAACAAATCAAAATCAGCTTGAAGCAAGCTGGAAAAAATCTTAAATTTGCCGCCAAGAAACGTATAGCTTGCAATAAGCATGGCCGTGCTGCTTGAAATTAGCTACCCGGCGGAATCTTAATTATTTTACGTTTAATGTTCGGATCCAATACTAAATACTGAAAGTTTTATTCATTTTTCATAAAATTCCGTAACGTAGGGATAAAACGTTACTGATTCTTCGACATGGATCATGTTGAAGTCATCGTGCGTTGCCGCGGGTTTTGTTCTCGATTTGCAGCAATGCTAAAATGCGCGGCTTTTGGAGATCTTCTGGAATGACTTGAGAATGTAGGAATGTATAACTTAATGCCCGTGTCAAAATGAAGGCGGAGTGGTTACAATCCAATGGAAACTTAATTCAAGAAGTTGGCTGCAAACTTAATTTAAGTCTAATTTTTTCAGCTATTTCCAAGATTCGTGTCATGCTTGAAACCAGGAATCTTGAATCGAGTATACATTATCTTGAATCAAGAAACAACTTCTTAGAATTAGCAGCCATGGTGGCTTGATGTAAGACTCAGCAGGTTTGACTCAAGATTTTTGTGCTGCTTAAATCAAGCTAGCAGGTGATCCAAGCTATAAGGTAGCTGCAATTAAGAATCTCGAATCTTGAATTTAGCAATAATTTGCTTGTTTTAAAATAAAAATTCTTGAATCAAGCTGATTTTTTCTCAAGATTCCGAGACGGCTTGACCGCGGCAGACTTTTTTTTCCAGTATACGCTAAAACATACCATTTTTATAATATGCCATTAAAAATGCGTTTTACATGCCATTTTTATGAAATGCCATTGAACATGCGTTTTACATACAATTTTTATTTTTATGAATAACAATTTTGGAGTGTAAATGACAACACTGTTTACCCTCCAGCCTGAAAATCAGAAATCTGCACCCAGATCATTCGAAGTAGTGGGGTTGGTTGGGTTTTTGGGGGTGTCAAGAATCCGCCGCGTCAAAAATGTCAAAACTTAAAAAAGCCGCCCGGAAACACTTTCCAGGTAGAATTTTTGGGGATATAGAGAGCCCGCTTTGTCAAAAACCCTGAAAAATCTCACACAGCTGCCGGCAAACACTCCCACCGAATAGGTTGCAGGTAAGAGAGGACGTCTTTATCGGAGGTGTAAGTTCCAAAGTGCCGCAAAATTGTGTCATACATCTTCACCAATGTCGGCTGGAGTTTCTAAAATGGGATTTTACATTCTGTCAAACGGAACTACGTGCCAACTGTACGTGGGACTCGTGAGCCGTGGGTATTATTCCAGAACGTTGTTGACAGGGCTCATGAGTTAATGTCCGGGAATGCCGTTCCGCGGCTTCGTCGTCGCCGCTGACGTCACTGACGTTTTTTAATTCCAACTCATTCGTACGGCCCTCGACTAACGAGCACATCCCATCTTTCCCACCTGCACATATTTCTGTTTGGTCGAAATTCGTCCAAATATTGAGAAATTTAGTTCAGTGTGTTAAATAAGCAGTCAAATCGCTGCCCTGAACCCAGGGTTGCCACAGTCAGGGAAACCGGGATGTGTCAGGGAATTTAAAAAAGTTCGGGATAACCTGGAAACGTCAGGTAAAAATTGCCAAGTCGCCTTTATTTGCTTTCTAGAATGGGTTTTGCGTTTTGGACAACAAATTTTGCCTGCAAATTATTTCTAATTATGTCATTTTATCTATTTGGCGTATCTTCGATTGTCAGGGAATTTCACCAAAATTTTTCTGGGAAAATGGGAAAATGTCAGGGATTTTCATTTTCCAGATTCGGTGGCAACCCTGGTGTGTGTGTGTGTGCCAGATCCGATGGAATTGAACCTGGTTTAAGTTGAGACTTTTGTGTTTTTGTTGTCAGCATCGAGACACGCAAGAGACGCTTGCTGTGCTGGATCGGCTGGACTTGGACACGGACAAGCCCTCAGACGAAGAGATGTTCAAGAAGTTCGGCTTCGAGGAGGCCTACCTCAAAGACTCCCTCTCCTTCTGGCAGCGCAACAAGCCCAAGCTCTGGTCCCTCTTCGACGAACCCTACTCCTCCACCGCTGCCAAGGTAAGATCCCCACATTCCGATTTTTACTCGTATCACAGCATGAACGGTTCATTGAACTAATTCAATCAGTAATTGAATCAGCGGTCATGCCTCATGAAACTAGTTAGATCAGGCAACACACAAAATCGATCAGCTGATTGTATAACAACAAAACCCAGTGGCATAGACAAACGGCTTGATGGGGGGGGGGGGAGTCCAGAGGGTCTGCCCCCCCCCCATATCCTCGTGAATTGTGCCTTTTTTTTACTTTTGGAGGGCAGGCATTAAATATTATCAGGGACGTACACAAAATAATGTAAATTTACCGTCATGGTTTTGAATAGAACCCACCCCCCCTCCTCGTAAGTCATATTCTTGGAAAATATTGCATTATTAGAGTCAATTTTGCAACCATAGAAGAGAGTTACGTTCCTCCGTCTAGAAAACGATTTGAAATCAGCCGCAAGTTCTTTCCTTTCGACGTAATGCCGCTAAATGTCGCATTATTTCTTGTCAAGAACGGTTCCAAACTCGGAAGGTCTCGCTTTCAGTGTCAGCGTGAAAACTAGTTATCTCACGATAAGAACATTGCTTTCCCAGCATGAATTCAAGAACGACCATGAGCTGTCAGAAAGTTCATTTCAAGGTCATTTCGGCGTTAATCTGGTAGAGGCATCTAACTAATAGAGGTGCATTAATATATTGGCGATCCCTCTATTTCTAACAGACTTAACCCGAATATATTCAAGACTTTAATTTTTTTTCCCTTTCTATGTACCGCGCACAAAGCACTCCGGTATTTACTCTCTGGCCCGGATTTACCAAATAGGCGCACGACTATGGCCTGCATCACACAGTTGTTTCCTTCCCCTCTACAAATATTCTGTACACCTGTTTCTCACCAAAGTATTTCCCTTAGTTTCTCATAGGCTTACAGCCAAGTCCATAAAGGGGCATTTCCACTCCTTTTCCTCTCTCAATATGTGCCCTTAGACGCCTTATTGCGTTTAGAGGGGTTAAAATTTCAAATTCTATCGAAAGAGGCCCCCCCGGACCCCTCCTCCGTCGAGGAAATTTACCGCTTAGCCCTACATTCCAGGGAGGTGCACTATAAGGAGACCTGTACCACAAATTTTGACTACACAGAGAGAAATTTCAGCACGAAAGTTTTGTTAATAAGGAAAGTAAAACAAAAAATAACCTTAGCCTTCGGTTGACAATTTCAAGATAATGCAAGCTAGTGTACACAATCAATCCAAATTTTGTCTCGGATTATGTTTCACTTCCTATATTAACCGAAAAGTAAAACAAGAAGACAAATATTTTTGTCGTGTATGGATCCGAAAATCTGTGATGCGGGCTTGTATACTCGTTTTTCCATCCATAGTGTCATTCCTCCTCGCAGTTTTCAAACTCCGTTAACTTCAAACGATGAACACCAACGAGTCTCGGCTTTTCGTCACCACTATTCACGCAGTGTCCATTTTAGTCAATCCCTACAGAGCTCCGTAAATTTTAGCAAAATAACAGAACCGATTCCTCAAACCGTCCGGGGGAACAAAAACCTCAAACCGAGAGCAAAAAGCGGAGAAAAAGTCGATTTTTTTTCGAGTGAGAATGCAGCGGAACAAAGCCGCGGGAGTCCCCATGATAAGACTCCTTTGATTAAAAATTCTTCGAATCCCTCCTAGCTTTTCCTCTCTCTCTCCTCCCGCGGGTGCTCTAGATTCGTCGGAGACCCGCTTAGACTCCGAACGAAATCCAACTGTTGAAAAATTCACTTCAACTTTAGATTAGAAGATCCGAAAAAAAGCGGGCGGGTCCCGAGCGGGGGGTTGGGTCGGGGGAGGGTTGCAAATGGCTTCAAAACTTGCTCGATGATCTATCATTTATAGCAATCAAACGGGGGCATCGCGCCGTCTGGGGACCGATTCACCGTGATTGAGTAGTCAACACCGGAATTCTTCCGCCGTCCCTCGTTTTTATTGCCAGGTCTTCGGAAATCAAGGCCATTTTCACACGGATTCCTTCAGGGGAAGTGAATGAAATTAACCTTGAAGTGGCAACGCTGCTCGTTTTGCTTCCCTCTCCCCTTTCACTGTGCCCCACTCACCCCCTACACCCCTGCGGTTATGTTCCTGCCCTTCCCGTAAACCTCGGTTTTCATGTCGCCATAAAGCGCGTGTCAATCTCCTTACGAGTTAAAGTATTTGATTTGAGAAATTTCTCCTTGCTGGGCTAATGAGAGAGTCTACCTGCAATATACTGATTTAGTGACTACGTCATGATTCCAATGTACACAAGCACATAACCTTGTTTCTGATTCGCGCCCTTTGATGCTTTCAAGTGTTTCTTACTTACAAAGTGTTTAATAAGTCCGTAATTGATTTTTGATCGGTCAGTGACTAAATTTTAATGAATTAACACCAGTACCTCGTAAAGTATTCGTAGGTTATGTTAGTTTGTTTTGGTTTGAACCAAGAGTTCGATATTATATCGAATGACGTAGTCGCAAAATCAGTCTATAACACTGAAATAGATTCGAGATTCATCGATTAATATGAAGATCGTATAGATCTACCTTCGAATGAACAACCAGCTATACCCTCTAATAATTATAGAGAGATCTGAATTACCAGTTGAAAATGCAATATTAATTTGTATCTCATGGATTGGCAGTGCGGCTCGAGTGATAAAGCTGTAAATAGGGTCGTTATATCTAGCTTGCCTCTCCTTTTTCTTATGTTTCGGGAAAAGTCTCAAAATGAGCATTTTATTTAAACTGGTTCTCCCTACACAAAAAGTAACAGAATTAATGCCGCCAAATACACTTAGCTCGTAAAGGCACATACAACTTCCAGATGTATAAAAAAGAAATCGGAAAGGAAGAAAATAACCGTAGAACATATCGTCGTTTCTGAAATAATAGTCGGCAACCGTATTTAAATTTTACAAGGTTTCCACCCGGAATTTAATTATATTTTCTACAGAAATCATGTTATCAACTTTTTTTTTGTCAAACGCAAAAATTAGCAACATGTTGGACGTAAATGTAAAATTGCACAGTCCTTTCCTAATACTGTGTCCTAAATTCACTGTCTTGTTGTATCTCACATCACGGCGCGGCGCGAGGATGCGACTATTCGTGTTCCAAGGATGTCCGTGTTGCATGTACAAAATTGAAGGCGCTTTGCCTTTTTGCCGATTTCGGATGTAAGTAAGTTTTCAGGGAATTTGGAGGACAAGGCGCACAAGTGCAGTTTTTGAGAAAATTGAGGTATTCATGAACTCAACTGAAACTAGTTGGAGGGTATATTCTGTGAAAAATTGACAACTAAAACTCAACTTTAAAGCATCAAACAGTGAGTTTCAACTGCCCTTCCGCCACGAGGCTCCATGTACTTTTGAAACTTTAAACACTTATTTCTTGAAATAGCAAAAACTGCTCTTATGCGGCATGTCCTCTGAGCCCCTCATTTGTTTTTCTGTCAAGCCGAAAGTTCTTTACATTCATATTCTGCTTGAACGCTCTTCCGTGATATTCTCCTTTGATGATATAATTATGTTGATTATACTGAGGAGTGGGTGAGGACTGCGGAGTTGTTCCTATTTTAACTTTTTTTAATACACTTGCTCGGGCGAGGAGAAGTTCAACGTCCAATGACGGGAGAAAGAGAAAAGAACATGAAGCCAGCCTGGGCTTATGTACTTTCCTTACCGTACATTGCTGAAATGAGGATCGCAAAGGTGAGGAAAAATAATTCAAGGAATAATATTACCACGCCAGCGTCTTTAGTGGAGCATCCTTCCCAAGTTGCCGGGTCTACTAACTTCAGATATTGTGTCAGGTGAGAACAGCTTTGGTTGAAAGGAAACTTTACGCATTCTGGCAAGCCGTGAATTAAATAAATAACATAATAAATGAGAATCTGCCTTTATTTTATCTTTTTCGTTTCCACAACAATACCAACTTTGACTACCCCATGGCGGACATTCCCACCGTCCGGCGGATGCTTTGATACAACGTAGATACTAAATGACGACAATACAAATACAACAATAGGACAAAAAAGGATGCCTACATCATTGATTTATAAGTTAGGTATAATGTGATAGTTAAACGAGTGGTTGAACCCTCCGACCAATTCATATCGCCAATTTCACGCTTCTTTACAAAATTTTACTAGCCTTTTTAAGTTTACCTTTCTAAGTGTGTTTAAGAAATCCTCTCCATTTAGCTCTTTCTCACCTCGATAAATTTTACGGATTACCCCTGATATTGGTAATGCTGTGAAGCGTCATACATCTTCAACTACTTGCTAATTGCAAAGCGAACATTCCTATTTTCTTGCTTTAAATGAATGTTCATTGAAATGAATCAAATCGCAACAAACATTTAACCTATGGCAGAGGAGCAATAAACAGGGTGTTCGCAACGAACACCGTAATAATCGATTTTTTACCATAGCTTCAAACGGGTAATTATCGACAATCGATCATTCACGCCTAGCCGCTTCTCCTCCGTCTAATATTTACTCGGTCATCCATCGGAATTAGAATATATTGTGTAAATTATTTCGGTTCCCTTTTTTTCGGATCATTCCGGGCGGAGAACACATTTACTTGCGTATTCTTGACAGTTTCATCGTACTCGGCTAGAAGGTTGCAGCTCAACATCCCCGACCAGACCCCGCGCTGAACCCCTCCTCCGTAAACCGTTTTTCAGCCCCTCGCACTCCCTCCCCACCTCACAGCGATTTTCTGCCTTTTCCTCTTGATTACATTTCTGCTTTTCCCTTCTCTCCGTTCACACCCTTCTTAAATCTGGATTGAGATTGCCGACTTTTTACCATTGAAGGGACTATAACAGCTGAATTTCATGACTGTTTAAGTTTTGAACAAAACAGCCGTAAGAAGCATTATTCTTTCTGAGAGCCACTAAAAATAGTGCTTCCTAGTAAAAATGCTGCTCCTTGTTGTGTGTCCGACACGCAACCACGAAAACATGCAGAAGATAGCAT